TATAAATCACTTTTTAATTTTTTAAGTTTATCTTGGGTATTAATATTAATGTAGAATCTCCTTGTTCAACTTTATTTATCGTAAAATGATAAAAAAAATATTCAAATCTTGCATATTGAGATCATACAAAAAAAACTTGCATATTAAAACCATCCCGATACCCACCTCCCGACCATCGATACTAGTCAGGATTTCCCGACCATCGATACTAGTCAGGATTTGTTGGCCGTGTTGTGATCCGTGATAAATAATTAACCAAATTTGTAACCAGATCTATGTGTATTTGTGACGAGTAGAAGACAACATAAAAGTCCACGGAAATCTTTGTTGATGAGAAAAGACAATTGCATAGAATTATTGAACTAAGAATGGATTAAAAGTCTAAGAAAATCCATAATTTTAGAAGTCAATAAGAATTAACGAAAATTTGAATACGCCTAGACTTTTATTGACTTTTAAAAGTTTACATCGAATACACTTAAACTTCTATGGACTTTCAAAAGTTCACATTGAATACACTTGACTTTTAAAATCCATGGATTTTAATTTTTTCCCACTAATTCCTAATACAATATACCCCTACGTGACTACTTTTAAGATTGAGCCTATAATTATTGTATCATTTAATGAATTGAAAGTATTCTACTTGAAATTTCTTATCAGGAATACTAAATATATTTATACGCTTTCAGGAGAATTTAAAATAACATAATATAGATTTTTAAATAACATAACATAGATTAACTAGGAAGCGTATATAGTACCACCGGTTGTACGGTGCTCACCGTACAACCGGTGGCATTTTTGTAATTTATATGAAATTCGTGTCTCGTACTAAATGAGTATTAAACCACGCCTAGTGAGCAAGTGACATATTTTATTGAGCATTGGAAGCATAACATTGAGCATCGTGTTCTCTGCTTAATCTCTTTGAATTTACTTTCTTTTCCTTATTTTTTTCTTTATAAAAACTTATTAAATTATATCTATAATCATCTCTCATGAATTCCAGTATGCGAATTTAATGCAATATGATACTTTTGAAATATACATTGTTATAAATTTAATGCTAATTTATGTCATATTACAAATGAGCATAACATGAATATCCGGTGAGCATACATAACTTATAAAATCAGAATTGATATGAAAATCATAAGTACTTTCAATTGAACATCAAGACATTTTTATTGAGTATCAACTTGAAAAGTATCACCAATGATTTTCATTATGCGATTGTGATGACCATCGAGTCTGTTCTTTTTAAATGAGCATAAAATAACACCAAATGAGCATATGTAACTTACAAAATGAGTATCAAAAAATTTAAAAGTCCATTTATGTATGCTCATTCATTTTGGCCTTATACTCATTTGAGTTTAACATTAGTATGACACGTTTGAAATGAGTATAAAGAGGTAACAAATGAGCATTCATAACTCACAAAATGAGTATAAAAAATTCAAAAGATCATTTGTGTATGTTCATTCATTTTAGGTTGTATACTCATTTGAGTTTTACATAAAACTCATTTTTAATATGCTCAATATTCATTTGTGTATGTTCATTCTTTTTAAGATTATACTTATTTGAGTTTAATATAAACTCATTTCAGATTCGTCATGAACTCAAATCTCCTAAATCATCTTATATGAACTCTGCTTTCTTCTCACAGTATTAAGAAAAACAAAAGCTCACTATAAATCTTTATTTTACTCAAATATTCTTCGTGTATACTCATGTATTTATTTATAATAACATAAATAAGCCCCATCCATGTATAGGCAGTATAGCCCGTACATCAACGTCGAAGTCCAAAAATCTCCACTAGCTTAGCAATTGGAAACCAATTTTCCACTCAATTGGATCAATACCAAATTCCTAAAATCTACAGGAGCGTAGCAATTGGAAATCAACCTTGTCTTGCGAGGCAGTCAGCAAGAGACTCACGCACGCACGTAACCAGAGACTACGTCGCACTCCATAGTCAGCACAGTGTGGAAGTCAGAAGAAGAAGAAGTTCGATGGCGAGAACAACCTGTCAAACGCACACAAGCGAATCCCAGATGACGATGAGATGCTCAATCGGTGATGATAGATGAAGATGGTGCAGAAGCCAGGCTGCAAGATATTACAAAAATACCCGGCTGTACCGTGCGTACGATACAGCCGGTTGTAGGATGTAATTTACGGATTAACTAAAGGAGTGTTTGGGGTTGATTAAAAAAAGCGTTTTTCATCTTTTGGATTAAAAAAAGTTGAAAAGAGTGTTTTCAAATGATAGCTTCTGCTTAAATTAATCACTTAAAAGCTAAAAGCTTGAAGCAGGTAGAAGGGTGCTTTAAACTGCTTCTGACTTTTTCTATTACACAAAAAGTACTTATTTTACCAAACACTACCAACTTTTACTTTTTCAGAATCACTTTTTTTTCAAACACTATCAACTTTTACTATTAATCATTTTTCCCAAAATCACTTTAAAAAATCACTTTTTTAAAAGTTGAAGCAATCGCAAAAACTCCCTAAGTAACTAACTCATGCTAGTGAGCATTCAAATTTAGATAAAACGCTAATACTATCACCTATTCTAGAGGCGCTATACCGTGGTATCATCCCACGATGAGGACCATACTCCTTCTTTTAAACGATGTAGTTTTGCACAACTTTTAATTAAAAAATTTCACGCGTGAACAGTAACACGCGTGAACAGTACGTTTTAATTTTTTATTTTTTGTCCCAGTAATATCGTGATGTAACTCGCGTGTAAAGAAGTGTAACTCACGTTGATAAGAAATGTAACTGTAGGTCAGTTGAAATGTAACTTATCCAATACGATGCCCTAGAGATGAAACATTGATTTCAATGTAAACTATGAAAAAAAAAGAGTAACTACACAATTACTTTACATAAATTGTGAATATGTTTTGTTTTTAATATCATGACCATCACAAGGATTTTAAAAAATCAAATTTTTTGTTTCATGTAACTCAATACATGATTTATTTATGTAATTCATGTTATTACAAGTGTAACTCGCGTTGATGACAAATGTAACTTGCGCTTTAAAAGATGTAACTCGCTTATAAAATAATGTAACTTAAGCATAAAAATATGTATATGTAACTCACACAAATGAATATGTAACTTCATACCATTAGAAATGTAAATATTTTTAACAAAAATGTAACTTTTTAACCCAAATCTACTTTTCAAGAAACTAGCAGGGCTGCCCAAAAAAAGAGAATCAGAGAGCATTCTTAAAAAAAAAAACAGAGCACTACGGAGCACTTGAAACGGGCCAGCAAGAGAGCAAAATAGAGGTGACCGGGCTGGAGCTCCTCATCGGTGCTGATGGCGGAAACGTCGTCGGAGTTGCAGATGAGAACCGTGGGGTCCTGAAGGAGATTGGAGGCTTTGATAGGGAAGGGAAACTGTTGTAGTTCCCATCTTCAAGAATCAACTTCGCCATGGGAGGTGACTCAGTTTGGTGTAGTGAGTTGAACTCCTTTCTGGTAGCGATTCCAGCAATGAAGGGAAGAGGAGAAGCGATCTAATTGTGTGGTTTAGCTAAATCTGAATCTGATAGGGCACGAATCTGCAAATCTGAAGAAAGTCGGTCATTTTTAATAATCAAACGGCACCGTTTGGAATCGGGAGCACCATGCTCACCGTGGGATGATCCCACGGTATAATTTGCGCCTATTCTACATCTATACACACACACAATATCCTCATTAATATGGCAATTATAAATTTTAACGGGTAAATTACTAAAATTATAGAACTTTTATCAATTCAAATAATTGAATACCTATAATACAACATTTTTTTAAACACTAGTCAATGCAAGAAAGGGATAGTTATAATGAATACTAAAATTTAGGATTGATAAAATATGGTATGCATAAATAATAAATTGTGGCTAAAATAATTTATAAAATTTCTTTTGATATTTCAATGCTTATTGATGTGAGTGAATTTTACACTTAGGTTAAATTATAGATTTGTTCATGAGATTTAAAACATATTAGTTTTGAAATTTTATTATTGATTCAAATACTGTATTTACATTCCAGCTTAAAGCTATTAAAAGCCTGTTTGGCAACTAATAATTTCAACTTATCAGTCATTTAAGATTAGTTTATGATGTAAAATGAAGGGATGTTACGCATAGAATTATATATTAATCAATGTAAGTGAATTATAAGTTACCTTTGTAATTGAATTGGTTTGAAATTATTATTATAGAAAATCAGCATAACGATTTCCATAAGATTTTTTTTCGTTTATTAATACTCCGTATAAACAAACAATAATATAACATGTCCACAAATCAGGAAACTAATGAAGTCGACTGGTTTAACTAAATTAGTTTCAATAGATTAGATCCATTTAACGGATTTCAATGTTAACAAATGAGTACTAAAAATACCACACTATATATATAATCCTATGTTCAAAAAACCGACGGACCCGATTGGGTCGACCCAAAACCCGATGACCCGGACCAAAATCCGGAATGGTCGAAAACAAGAAAAACCCGGCCGACCCAGACAAACTCAGAAAATCCCGATTTTGTTTGTTTTCCAAAAAAGTAAATATTTTTAAAATTTCAAAGCATTTTTAACCTATAAAATCTCAATTTTAATACTTAAAAAGAGCTGTCAAAAAAAAAATACTTAAAAAGAAAATTATGCAATAAGAATAAAATCATGTCAAATTATATAATACAAAATAACAAACACGGAGTATCATCATATATTATTATATTTTAATAAGATCAAAATGGTATTTTGGAATTTTATGAGAATGTTTCAAATTAACCTTTTAATGTTTAGCAGGTATATCATTAGTTGATATTTATAAAAGAACCATCTTTTATTTTAATTTTGTATAAAATTATATATTTATTATTATTATTATTTGAAATTATTATTAATTCTATTATTATATGATCGATGGTTTTATGGCGTTGACGAGTTGACCCGACCGAATGCCTCCCGGTCGAGTTTCTTAAACATAGAATTAAAATCTACATCTACGAAATTAAATGTCTTGAAGTAATTAGCCCGAAGTGTTTGATCCGGGTCCAATTCATCCGATCTACCATTTCCTCGTCTCTCAGCCAGACGGTCGCACGCTAGATTGCTCTCTCCGCTTCCATCTCCTCTTCTCCCCTTAGTCGGACACAGTCTACACCACGCCGTTCGTCTAATGTGCTGAGGTTAGTCGATTATTACTGACTGTCTTCTTATTTTTTTTGATTTGTTTGTTCTTACATATCTTTCCATACCTGATCAGAATAGATCAAGCTTAGATGGTTAGAGGGTGTTGTTGAGATTCGTTCTTGATCTGTTCTTCATTTAAACGATGAATAATTTCCTAAATTAAGGAGTTGTAATAAGCTGTAGCTTAATGACCAACCAATACGCTGGCAGTGTTGCCTTCGTACGGAGGAGAGCCAAAATCTGCAGATCAACTGCAAGCACGTGCTACATCATCCCGCGACGACTCCACGATGATGTCATATTGACGTCATCATTATCAGGAGGTCCAGCTTTTTATATATATAGAGAGAAGAGATTGTGGTTTTTCAGAAGTGGGTGTGTTTGATGGAGTTGGTCTGGTATCGCCACCAGCTCTTTGAGCCTCACAACAAGCCTCTGGTATACATCTGTTAAATGTTCTTTCATCCTTCTTGCTTGTAGCTTTGATCTTGTGAAGGAAAGATGGTGAAACTGACCATGATTGCCCGTGTGACCGATGGCCTCCTTTTAGTCGAGGGATTGGATGATGGGCGTGATGTACCGGAAGTGGACAGGTACAAACAGCAGGTCAAAAGTTTGTTCAAGAACCTTTCACGCGGCAATAATGGTCCTTCTAGAATGTCCATTGAGACTGGCCCTTACATATTCCAGTATCCTTTGTGGAGTAAAGTCTCCTTTGCTAATAACTCCCTGATACTTTTGTGTCATTAGTTCATTACAGGTTTAGTTGGGAACTTGGGATTAATGTAGACAGTGGTGATGATGACGGTGTGGTGAATTGGAGTGTTTTCCTTATTAGACCTGAGATCTGTCATTGTATTGTGGCAGTTGGCATTTCCAAAAGTTGTTTGTTTAGGTGAATTGTTCATTTGGTAATGCTAACATCCCTTCAATTATTATTGTTTCAAGATTTTTCATGAGGGAATTATATGCATATGGGCTCTCTAATCAGTACTCACTTTTGATAATAGATATCTCTTTGGGACTGTTTGGATGGCATGTTTTGGAGGGGGAAGCTTTGGGGGCATTAGTAGATATCTTGATAAATAAAATGTTTTTGGAACTGAATAAAAGGTGATTGAAATGTGTCACACAATCACATATTATAAATATATCACAAGATATAGACTAAGCTTTCCCAAGTCCTGCCCCCAGAACTTCGATTCGAACAGCCTCTTCCGAAATAGAATTCACCAATGCATTTTCTTTAGCATATTGTTCTGTGCTCATGTATTTTTCAATTTCTTGACATTCAGCATTAAGGTTTGGTTTCAGACTTATATTTATGTCTGCTCATGTATGTTTCAATTTCTTGACATTCAGCATTATGGTTTGGTTTGAGGCTTATATGTACGTCTGCTAATGTCTTACTTGTTTGGAAGAGTCATCTCAATTTGTCCTGTAAAAATATGATGTTTCTGTAATGTTTTCTTAACATAGATTTTCAGTTATATAATTGAAGGACGTGTTTGTTACTTAACAATGTGCGAGCGTTCTTATCCTAAGAAGCTTGCCTTTCAATATCTGGAAGACCTTAAGAATGAATTTGAGACGGTCAATGGGAATCAAATTGAAACTGCTGCTAGACCTTACGCTTTTATTAAATTTGGTAAGAACTATTAAGACCCTATAATAATTTTTTGTGGCTATATCAATATAGTTATCTTTGGAATGGTATTGATCTTCCTCTTTCTGAATTTGATTAAAGATGCATTTATTCAAAAGACAAAGAAACTTTATCAGGACACAAGAACACAGCGCAACATCACAAAGTTGAATGATGAACTTTATGAAGTTCATCAAATAATGACTCGGAATGTACAAGAGGTTCTTGGTGTTGGTGAAAAGTTGGACCGTAAGTTAATAATTGTTTGAAGGCAAAAGTTTTACGATTTAGGGACTGTTCATTATTTTTTTTGCTTAATAATATTAATTCTTTTAATTGCTGCCATATGACTTTACTTCTGCAGAGGTTAGTGAAATGTCCAGCCGCTTAACATCAGAATCTCGCATTTATGCCGATAAAGCAAAAGATTTGAATCGTCAGGTTAGTTTTAATCTGTGAATGTCTCATTTTTTGTTGCAGTTCTCTGTACAATTACCTATTATATTTTGAAACTTATCCTTAAAATCTACGACTTTTTTTTTTTAATCCTTCTCTATCAACTTGTATCTTAAAACAAACTGATAATGCTCATAGGATTCCTGCTCGGATGTTCCACATCATTTTTTATCAAAAAGATGTTTAAAATTTTCTCAGAAGTGTCAGGGAAAGTTAACATTGATCTTATGTCATGGGCCACACCAGTTTCATTTTATTTTATGGTAGGGGAAAAAAAAGAAAACAACATAAAAAATACAGGGATGATTGGATGAATAAACAAAATAAGTTATATTTGCATCGATGTAACACATTAAATAGCTTCTATTTCTCAAATGATACAAGGCTTTAATTCGGAAATGGGCCCCAGTAGCTGTTGTCCTTGGAGTTGTTTTCCTCCTACTCTGGGTGAGAAAGAAGCTCTGGTGATTCGGATGTGAACATCTCTGTCTAACACACAAATGACATAAGATAATCAAGAATCGGTTTTGGCTATCATCTGTCACTCTTGGATCAGGTCTCCCAATCATCACAATTTGCAATTGGTTCCCTCAGAGATATATGACGTTCGCTGAACATTATTTGTACGGCATCTCATTACAAGAGACTGATTTTCTAAATATCAGAGAATCTAGAGATTATGTTATTCCTCCATATATGATGTAAAACAGAGTAACTACAAGAATGATGGCCAATTTAGCCTATCTATGTTATTTTTAAAGTACATTTTGTATTTTACTAGTTCTCTGTCCTTCCCAACTGCACTTTTATTCTCTTGATTCACCCCACTGATAACATAGTTATGAAGCATTTTCAATAATACGTTGGTGTATGTAGTTGGGAGTGGTTGACTGGATGTTCCTCACTGTAATTTTGAAAATTTGATGCAAATTGCCTGCTTTATGCAACGTTTCGTCACGAGCTGACTGATGTGGTAAAAATGACAGCATTATTACTGATGTGGTAAAAATGAGACAGCAAAATGAACAATTTGGTTCTTAATCAGGGGCGGATCCAGGAATTCGACTTGCCCTGGGCTGAATAGGAATTATACTAGGCTTAAATAAAGGAAGAGTGAGCTAAATGTGAAAATGAAAAAATTTACACTAAAAAATTGAAAAAAATTCCAAGTTGCTTTGGGCTTCAGCCTACCATAGCCCGTACATAGATCCTCCCCTGTTCTTAATGCATTCATATACGTAGTATGTTACTTCATCTATTTCGAATCAGCTTGGCAGTCACGATTCAGGTGGGTTCGATAAAAGATGGCATGAACTCTGCTAATATATTTCAATAGTAGTTATTATTAAACTTTACATATTTAAAGACTTTACTAAAATTATCATTTATTTAACTTGCATATTAGTATTAATTATTGTTATTTTACATGCTGATTAGTCTTTCATATTCAAAATCAGATGATAAACAAGAAACTGTGTTGAGCCCTCCAAATCTAAAAGCGCCACTTTTATGCCTAGCCGTTCCTTCTTTGTACAATTGTACCAACCACCACATTTTTGTCTTACGTTATATCTCAGCATGGGATCCTGAATATCCCAAAAGTTCCGAAAACCAGAGTTGTTAATATTGTTTTAGTATCCAAAACAACACTTATTCTTGGTCGGAGCGGTAATCGAAAAGCAAACAATCAAATGCCCCGTTTGGTACATAACAATGCCAAGTTAACACTAGATTCGAATTCATTGTGGTTATATGTTTTAATGTACACAACAGAGAATTCAGATTTGAGAGAAGCAGAATATTACAGTCTTACAAGTTACAAACGGTTAAAGTAAGATCTCTTAAAGTATCATATATTTACATTGACTGCACATTTAAAGGGGCTTTCCTATAAGATGAACATTATGATGGTTACTTATCACTCCAAAAATACTACTATGGTGGTATGACTAGGGATGGACTCGGGCCGGGCGGCCCGGAACCGACCCGGCCCGGTTACTGTTTGAACCGGCCCGGCCCGGGAACCGGTCCGGGGGGCGGATGGGTCGGCCCGGCCCGGTTACTGTGCGGTTCGGGCCCGGGCCCTTTGATTGGCGAACCGGCCCGGCCGGTTCGGGCCCGGTTCGGGCCAAATTATTATTTTTTTTTTGAATTTTTTTTTAAGTTTTTGGGTTGGGCTTGGTATTTTGGGCCATTTGAGGTGGTTTGGGGTTGTTTGGGGGTGATGGGGAGGGTTGGGGGTTAATTAGGAAAAGCCAAAAAAAAAAAATAGAACCGAGGCCCGGCCCGCCCCGGCCCGCCCCGGACCCGGGATTACCCGGGCCGGTTCCGGGCCTCCCATTTCTGAACCGAGGCCCGGCCGGGCCCAGACCCGAACCGGAACCGGTCCACCCATAGGTATGACGGCTGCATATTAAATTAGATATTATAAAGTCACTTTTATTGAAGGGGGAGCCCTAGTGCACAGGTTATGTTTTTGTTGTGTGATAGAGATGTCACATGTTTAAGTCCTGTGACCGACTTCTAGTAAGAAGATAATAATGCTGAAATGAACATTTTGTTCTTTTAAGAGAAAATGTATATTTATAAGTATCACGACTATTTGGAAAAATCTATTCGATCAAGGCCATTTACTAAGGATGCATTTACTTCGTTGCTAAAATCATAATTAGGTTAGTAAAAAATGTGAAGTAAACACACATGCGGCTTAAAAAGATGCTTACTAACTCACACACGTGCTTAAAGTGTTGGTTATTAAACATACCACCCACATGTTTCAATTGAAAAACAATTTAAACTTTTTCATTTTTCGCAGACAACCTTACATATTCCCTTACCTTTACCCAATTACCCTTGTTGTTACCCCTACACAGTCCTTACCCGTCCCTGTACCCCTACCCCCTGCCCCACCCCCACCCTGACACCCTACCCTTTCTCGTACCCTTACCCCTGCCCCTACCATACTTGTCCCCCTTACCCATACCCCGACCCCACCCAGGCCGGCCTACCTCTTATCGTACCCAAACCTTTACCTCGCCAAACCCTACTTGTCTCCCACCCCTAACCCTTGCCCCTTCCCCTACTCGTACTCGTACCTTACCCATGCCCTACAAGTACCCCCTACCCCGACCCAACCCTTACCCCCTATCATACCTCGTTACCCCGGTTACCCCTACATGCCATCCCACCTCGATCCCCTACCCATGCCCTACACAAACTTCATAGTTTGATTTTACGATTTTTAAGAAAGTGATCATATTCTTACAAAAAGTAGATTATGTGTAGTGGGAGAGACAAAATGAGTGTAAAGTAGGTAATAAAGTAAGAGTATAAGGATAACTTTATTCTATAGATACCAAAAATAGAAGTGTGAATTTTATTCTGAATCTGTGCAAGAAAAGTAAAATCTGAAGTTTATTTAGGACTGGAGGAAGTAGATTAATTGGATGAAACAATTCAGACCTAATTTAATGAACCCATGAAATTAAACATTAGATTGTTTCAAAACAACAGATGACATGTTCCTTGATTTGATTTGAAGGCTAATACATTTAATACATTGTACAACAAATCCGAAGAAGTGAAGAAGTAGGGGGTGTTTGCTAAACAATGTTTCAGCAGAAAAATGCCGGTTTGACCACTTTTTGCGTTTTCAATAAGTGAAAAAGTTTTTTTTGTAAATAGCTGTTCGGCATAAGTCGTCCAAAACGCTCCTAATAGGAGAGTTTTGGATTGACGTTTTGAAAAATGACGTTTTCAACTAATTTTATGACTAAACAGCTAAATTACCAAACATCTTCTGACAACCCGCCAATTTATTCCGCTAGTCAAACACGCCGACAGAATCCATTATTGACAACCCACTAACACAATCTGTTATCCGCCAACCGCTGAATGCCAAACACTTCCGTAGTCTCGAATGGTGTGAAAACCGAAAAAAGTGGGTTGGAATTATTAATATTTAAGTGTTATACTAATTAAGTACAACATTCTAAAAAAAGTTCTTGAAAAAATGAGCTCAACAAAACTCCGTATCTATTACATACCAGGAAAAACATCCGGACCAAATAAATTTCTAGACCTAATTAATGATCCATTGAAGCATTAGTTCGTATGTTACTTAATTGAAGTGTCTATGAGTCTATGTATTGTTTTATATAGTAAAGCTCAGTTATAAAATGCTGATGTGTCTCACTCTTATTGGTTAACATATTAAATTAATTAATTAAAACATAAATGTAGAAGGGTAGCTCTTCCGTGCATCCATGTTGTGGATGTTTTGGTGCATTCTAACACATGGCAAAATTTTATTTGATATTTATTCCAGCTCATCTTTTTATTGAAAAAATCCGTTTATTGGCAGCCGGCCAATTTTATTTGCAAAGTGAACCCTATACTAGTATACTACTGTATGCCTTTTTTCCCTGTGAACTCGCCCCCCCTATGGAACTTACGCCCTTTTTCATTGTCGGACTTCATTAGAGCAAAAATGGCAGATTGTACGCTTCCAGAATTGATGGGCGTGCTCAGGATACAAGTGCTCGTCAAATTTCGGTCAATGTGTTCTCTGAAAAGGCAAGTTTCCTTCTCTCTTCAACCGCGCGCTGCATGGGATGGTTTCGTATTCATCGTGCCTCTTCTCTCTCTTTGAATTCATCCAGATATCGCAGTGCACTTCATCACAACACTGGTAATAAATTCATCCAGGTATTTTTTATTTTTCCCTTTCATTTCGTTCACAGCCTACCTTCACCGAATTGAATCCCCTTTTGTTATTCTTCAGTTTATTGGTACTTAAGGTTATTAGTGTCCTCACATAAGGGATTCCTTCACCAGATATGTATTACAATTGGGAACATAGGACGTTCGATAGTGAAAGGTAAGGAATTTTGTCCCTGTTTTATTTCCATTTCATATCCCCCTATTTCTATTTAATTTTGTGGAGATATGCAATGCTAAGTAGAGCAGAGATTGGGTTCTTTACTGATTTTGATTAAGAAAATATTTTCTGCCTACTTTCTGGTACAATATGCATTGATATCTTCATAAAACTGATCTCTCTACTAATAACTTAGTCGATGATATGCAGTATGTTTGAGTTCTACCTACTTTTTGGTTCTTAAACATCGATGTCTTCATGAAACCAATATCTCTACAGATAATTTAGTAGATGATATGCATTATGCTTGAGTTGTGAATTATTACTCTCCTGCTTACTTTGGATTTTTAAGAAACTAATCTAGTATTTCAGCCTTTTATTTAATAGATGCAGTGATATCATATTAGCCTTTTAAATTATATAGGATGTCATGACTATTTGGTTAAAGTGATTGGGCTGAAATGACATTTATTGTTAAATCTTCTCAAAGTAAAAGGCTAATATTGTTTGGTAAAATCAAGTTCAGCCAAATATTCAAGCCAAAATCTACTTTTTCCAATTATTATGCTTATTCTACTCATAAATAAAGTAGTTTTAATAGGCTACCAGATTGCGTTCCAATTACTATGAAAATAGTTTTAATATGCTACTTTTTCCAATTTTTCCAATTATTATGTTTGGTTAAAGTGATGTTTTAACCTTGTAAATTTAAGTTCTGTTGTATGAATGCAAGGAACCGAGATGGGGCAGAACTTCATTAATGAGAAGTGTGGCACTAATAATTGTGATGCCGAAGGGAAACTTACTTCTAAGGTTAGTAAGCATAGGGGTAATGGGTATGTAACAATTTGTGTTAAACTTGTTTCAGCCGCATCCTTGTGCTTTAGAAACAATGTCATTGTTGAAGCTGGAGTTGTTGAAGACCTGGTTAACCTGATCAAGGATAAATTGTTTATGAACCTTTGTCAGGATGCAAATGCTTTGGGACGAGATGTTTACTTCAATATGATTTTTAAATCTGGGCCTGCATTAGCTTCACATTTAGTTTGTGGCTTGCATTGTTCCGAGTGATGTTCAGGAACCATTGTAGTCAATAAAAATTACACTTTACAACTGAGGGTCATCCTCTTCCCGTTTTAAACACTTGAGACTTTCTAAGGCTATTTACCAAGCAATCAAACTTCATTTGGCGTTTTGAAAAGAATGCCCACTATTCAGTACAAAGTATGTATGGATAAACTGGTGAAGATTGGTCATCTTAAGAAGCATAGGGAATGGAGGAAGATTTGGTCACTATCAATACCGCCAAAGATTCATACATTGATGTGGAGACTCGGTCAAGACTGTACTGAACAGGAGTCGTCTCAGGGAGAAAGGTATTCCTTGCCTGAATATGTGCATAAACTGTCTTGGAAGCCCGGAAAACCATTGGTATGTTTTTTAGTGAGTCTGGATAGTCACTTGCTGGCAGAAAGTAGGCATGTAGAATACCTTCGAGTTGGCTATGCTCTGGGAGAAAGTTTTTTCGATTTTTTCGTGGATGTCTTCACCAATTTACCAAATGAACAACTCTGTACTTTTGCTATGATGGCATGGAGTATATGGAGGAGTAGAAACACTCTTTACTGGGAGGGTAACTATGAGAATGACCAGCAAGTGATATTTCATGGGACAGAAGTCCTGAATAGCCTAGTAAGGTTTATTGGCAGGCCTCACACCAAATCGTGTGCTAGCTTAGCTGCTGTAAAATGGATCCCCACCACCTTTCACGTACTATTCACTTTTATCCCCCCGAACTTTACATTTTCATCTGTAAGAACTATGTTGGAAGCTATATGGAGTGTTTCTTTTTAAAGATTGATTGATAGTTTTCACCATGTGCTGATTCAAATGTCATATGCCTTGTGATTCTTATTACTAGTATTATGGAGTCGCTGGAATCCTTGCAAAAACTTTTTGATTGATAAGATTTAAGATATCAATGCCTTATATTATTGCCATGGGCTTAGCTAATTTACATCCAAAGACCTTCACAACACAGACACACACACACATATTGGCTCTTTGCTGAGGGAATCTTACTGTTGTCTTCAAGCATCAAACCTATTTTGATCTCGAGTTCTTTTTTTATTTGCTTCATTTGTTTTTTAATTCCTCAAGTTTGATCATCTATTCATCTCTAATCAATTAATTATATAGAGCTACTTGTTCTTATATAACTTTGATTTGTTAATCACTTAATCCTAACGTGCCCTAAGATTGTAAATTGGTTTATTGGCTGGAATTAGATATTTTTTGAATGGTTAGATATTTTTCGCTGTTGTATGTAGGGCTGCACAAGAATAACCCGGACCCGCATAACCCGCCCGACCCAACCCTACCCGACCCTATTTAATCGGGTATTTGATTTTTAAAAATATTCATGGGTTAAATATGTTTGAACCCGCACCTAATGGGTAGGGTTGCGGAATTAAAATCTCAAACCCGATAGTACCCGACCCGACCGAAGTTCATTTTTCTATTATTATGCTACAACGTTTTCTTGGATAATTTCAATTCAAGACCAATGTGCTCTATCTAGGACTTTCTGATATTAGAATTATAATTAAACATTTATCATTTTGATTAGGTGATTATTATATATTTACGTTTCCTTCTAATTGAACTTCCTTTACGGAAGGATGTTTTAATACTATTACCTAATGTTTTTGCTTATAAAAGATACGAGTACTTGTATTTGTTTGTGTGTTTTGGAAACAAGTTAATCGAGTTTTAATTGGTTACATTAATTTCTCACATGAAAGATGCAACCCGAAGTGATTTTTCCCCCAATACCCGACCCTACCCGACCCATTCATGCATGGTTTACCAACTTATTTTGCGTACCGCGGGTTGGTTAATAGTCAACCCGAACAAATCGGGTAGGCCCAAAAAATATAGCAAACCCGACCCAACCCGCCCGATGTGCAGCCCTAGTTGTATGTGGCCGTATATTTCAAAATAGCGTTGGATTCATTTACCTAGAAATAGTTTACCAATAGTAGCTTGATTTATAAAGTACATTTGGAAGTTATTTATTAAATGCTGAATATCCCAACTATTCCAATTCATAATTGGGAGTTGGCAATTGGGAAATCTTTTGGTGCACTTCAGTTGGCAGGATATTATTGGTAAACTATTCCAACTCATATAATATGACATCTATCAAAAATATATCTCAAATATGTTTTAATCTGCAGAGCAAGTCCAATTTTTGCAGAGAAAGTCATTATCTAACCAAGTTTTCCGATTTTACTTATGTGAAAGGAAATAAACCACAGGTCCACAACTAGGGGCCAGGGGGTTTCTGGTTTTTCTTCTGCAAAAGCAAAGAGTCTAGGCAGAGAAATGAAAAGCCGGGCCTTCCAATTTGCTTTTAGTATCCAAACATGTTCTCTATCAAAGTTCAAACGTATAAAGAGTTGGTTTGCAACCACTTTTAAAAAAGCACTTCTCAGCTTTTTGCTTTAAAAAAACACTTCTTTTACCAAACACTACAACTTTTATTTTTCTCGGCTTTCGTGTCAAAAGTGTTTTTACTTTTTCTATCACACAAAAAAGACTTATTTTATCAAACACTATCAACTTTTATTTTTCAAAATCACTTTTTTCTCAAACACTATCAACTTTTATTTAGGGAGTGTTTGCAATTGCTTGTGCTTTTTAAAAGTGATTTTTTTAATAGATTATTGGAAAAGTGATTTGTAGTAAAAGTTGGTAATGTTTGGGAATAGAAGTGATTTTAATTAAAATGTAAAAGTTGGAGTATTTGATAAAAAAGTGATTATGATGGAATAATTTTTTCAAAAGTACAAAATCACCCTTTAAACTTTTGGGCATTGGGAGGGTATATGAATAAAGGGGGGGTTAAGGGATTTATTTGCCATTATTATTAGTCATAAAGTTGGAGGTAATTACAAGTTTACCTAGAAGCTATTAGAAGTTGGTATGCTCTAGCTTTTAGATTTTGACTTTAAAGCACTTTTTTTTAAGCAAAAGTTAGGATTACCAAACACCTTTTTTGACTTTTTTTTATCTAAAAGATCCAAAGCTCTTTTTTAAGCAAAGGAAAACACTCCCTTAATCACTTCTCCCCATTTCATAAAAAAAACACTTTTTTAAAGTAGAAGCAGTTGCAAACAAACCCAAAATGATCCAGTAGCATTCAAAACTTAATGGTGCTTCACAAAAAAACAAGGAAAATCGCACAAAAAAACAAGGAAGTTATCTTCCCAACAATGAGTAAGTAGCATTCACACTTCAAACAAACAAATTAATGAATCTTAAAAAACACTCAACAGGCGGAAAATAGATATTAAAGGACATTCTTGAAGTGGTAATCAACAGATCTCCAAACTGTGATACGATGATAAATGAGATACAGTATACAAAGAGCATTTGTCCCATTTATGTTTTCTAAACATATAATTGTCTCATTCTTCTTTTTTCGTTCGTCCCACTAAATTTGTCACATACCATAGTTAGTACTCCCTCCGTTCCCAAAAATACTTCCCACTTTCCTTTTTGGGCCGTTCCCAAAAATTCTCCCCACTTTCCCTTTTTGGACAATTTGTGTGGCTCACATTCATTTTACCTTTTTCTCACACAACCACAACCACACATTTCCACTTTATTCCACTTTCTTAATAGGCGTGCCAATTCAAACCGGGAAGAATTTTTGGGAACGGAGGGAGTAATATTTATGTGGTTCTAATTCATTGTTAGTTTTTCTTACTTTATTAATTCATTGTTAATCACATAACTCTACTTTCTTAAAACCGCACGACTCTCCTTCGTCCCAATAATAGGGGGACAGAGGTAGTAAGTCGTATAAGACCAAAATTTAGGATAAATAAATGCAAAAAAGCTCAAGTTAATTAACAAAGGTTCAAATCCAATTCCGATCATTATGTTTCTTTCAACCAGAATGAAACAAACTACTTATAAAGTCTTAATTAAACAAGTTCAAATCATAGGCTAAAGTTTAACAAGTTTCTTTCTATTTGACTCAAGCTCCATCCACCTCTTTAAAGCTTTTTGAACAACGCGTTCCTCAATTTATTACTCCATATGATAATAAAAAACTGGATCAATGACCATACACATCCTCGTGTCAGGTGTGACCTATGAATAACAAATGAAGTTAGTAACCAACATATCTTGGCCAAATATTATGTGTTGTAATTTCACACATTAAAAATTTATAAAAATAATACACTAAAATCACTTCACGTACAGAAACATAACTATAATTGTTGGTCAAAGTTCATTCTGACATCCATTTAGCAACCCAAACAACTCAAATGTTCCTAAGAAAATTCTAAAACTATATGTAAAACATAAAAGTTTTATTCAATATCTTACGAACCATTCACTTGTCGGCCAAGTCCTTTAGGTTCAACCAGAACATAATCAGATATTAATGGCCTTTTATCAATGGATGAATCATAAAATGAAGAGTTCGTCACATTTTTTTTCTAAAAACAATGCCTGCCACATAACTCATATGTTAAGTACAATTGATACAAATTTTATCTATAGAATTTTAACATAATTAATTATATACCAGTTTTTAATCCCGCCTTATAATGCTCACTCTAGACGGAGATGGAAGCGAGCTGCGAGTACAACACATTGAGTGTTTTATAGTTCATATCAAATACAAAGAGTATTCAATGAATATGGTCATCAATAATCAGAATAAATACTTGTAATGGAAAACAAAAATAGTTACAGGTTTGGAAATAAAGAGAGTACCTTTTAAGTTGGTCATACCTTCATGTATGGACTTATTCACAAAAGCAAATCGGAAGACCCAGTCTTTCGTTTCTCTGACTGATTTCTTTGCTTTCACATAAGAAAAATCAAAAACTCTCTGGCTGTGGTTTATTTCTTTTCACAGAGGCAAAATCGCAGAACTTGGTTGGATAAGGATTTACTCTGCAAATTAAAACATATTTGGGACATATTTCCGGTATATACAATAGTATATGAATTGGAATTGTTTACCAATGATATCCTGCCAACTGAAATGAACCAAAAGGGTTCCCAACTGACAATTGCCAGGTATGAGTAGGAATATATGGAATATTTAGTATTTAATAATTACTTCCAAATGTGCTTTATAAAACAAGCTACTACTAATAAACTATTTCCAACTAAATGAATCCATCTGCTAAGCTAGACATGACATATAGGTACACAATGTTTTTAAAATTCAGAGAGTACCAAAAAAGTATAAAACAAGAAGTCCTTGTTAATAACAAAGAACCATCTTATTGAATCTTAAAACTTCATAACTTAAGAAGCACAATTCAACATAAGACATCACTGATTCACAATGAAGGTTGAGAACAATATATTTCAAAATATGAATATGATATTTTATCTGGTTTCACAGCGGGAAAGGGGAGCAAATCTTTTTGTTTCACTTTAATATACAATCAGTATTTCATATTACTTTATATACAAATCTGATAAATGATTTACATATATTATTTATTTAGAGTCTTATTGTCACTAATTTTTCTCTTAGTGTAGTAGTTTAGAAATTAAAATTCAAAATGGAGCCACATTTGACTTTTATTGTTTACTATTTAGCATCGACTTTCCTCATACGAGTACAAATTAGGGTTAACAAATTCAAATTCCAGCCAATAAACCGATTTACAGTCTTAGAGCAAATTAGGGTTAGCAAATTAAAGTTATAAATAAGAAAAACTACTTCTCTATATAGTGAATTGATTAAAGATGATCAAACGTGAAAGAGTTTATTGAAGGAGAAAGAGAAAAAATTATACTCCCTCCGTCCCAATATAAAAGACACACTTTCCT